AGGAGCTTCGTCATCTAATGCATATTCATCGACTGGTTTAGGTCTTTGACGGACCGTGGCTAAAGTCGGTAAAGCTACATCGATGTCAGCCATGGCCATGTCGTTGGAATCGGGCCATTCTGGAGCGAAGTTTATAGCGCTGAAAAAAGGAAAATCGGGCTAAACGTAGTGCGCCGGTTCCATAATTTTTTCTAAACTAACGAAGGGAGTACAGAATTTTTGCCTTTGGTGCTCCGTGACAGCTTGCGTAGCATTTTTCGATGCGTGCTTGAGTGAAAAAATGTCGAGTCAAAGCTTCAAAAATAGAATGCTAAATATTGCGCACCCTAAGCATTATATTTATTTACTTTTCGTAGTTCCATTTCGAAATATTTTCTGGCGTTCCCTAGACATACCTGTACACAGCAAGATCGAAGACCATTGAAGGGACTAAGTACAATTATGCTCTCAGGGACTGTTCCTCAGATCTGAGATTTCGTCCATCATACAGATGAGTAATTACAGACTGGTAGCCAACTTGCTGATCATATTCCTAAACGAACGTATTCAATTCCTTCTAAAGAAGTAAGATTGCCAGCTTCCATTGATAGAATAGCTGATTTCAGCTTTGCTTATTAGCACTATTATGAATATTATCATTTAACGCACGTTCCACACTTCATGTTTTTATATCTTTTTGAGGCAAACGTATAGTTTAGACAAGTAGGCCTTTTTGAATTGCCATTTCTATATGGAGACCTCGGTGGAGCTATTGTTGTTGGCCATAGTACCCAGATTAACGGTTGCTGTGTTAAGATGGTGATGGTGATTCTGATGCTGATAATCGATCTACGTGTGCGTAAAGCGGTGGAAGCGCAGTGGCGGCGGCGGCGTAATTACTTTGTACCAGATATCATATTCGGCCAAGTATGTATAATTATAAACATACTACTCCTCGCTCGTCGAATCTTTGCCCCCTCAGTGAAATCGATGAGCTATAATGCACACGAAACAATAGCAAGAGAACTCGTGTGTGTTGCTTCTGCTGTTATGTCGCAAAATAATAAACAACATTGCGGCTCTAATGTCGACACATATACGAAACGATATCAGACGTTACTAGATAATGCCGACAGAGATGAGGGCAGCGATGTGCTGATTAAAACTGAAGGTATATATCTATATATAAACAAAGTGGAGGAACAAGGACTATATTGTGGAGAGCGAGTTATTCCTCAGACGTCTGCTCGTGTCATGGCAGTTTGCAGCTGCGGAAGTGGCCGTACTTATATGCAGCATTATGTTATGTTGTACAGTGTTGCTATTGATTCGAACTCTTTCCCTATGGCGACAAGGACAGATGGGTCATTTCGCTCGGGTCTGCGTCGTTCACATGGTTTCGTGCACGCAGCAAATTTGTCAACCCAAACATCAGTGTTGCGTATAGAGCATGTACAGCTTATGTATGCAGGAGCTGCCTTATAACAGTATTTTAGTGTCAACTTATAGATAAAGGACACTTATCGTTCTCGTCGCTCTAATTCGACATGTAGAGCTTAAATACTTGCCTCTTCGTATGGGCACTCTGTATATGTGTGATTTAATTTGGCAAAACTTATACTAATCGACGCTACAGACAACGACTCAGCTTTTACAAATCCACAACAGCAAACCGAAAGTAAAGTGCCTGCCGATGGGGCGAACGATCGCGCAGACCGATCTTTAACCAGACACAAACCACCGAAAAAAAATGGTCATGGCCTGTGGGTGCAAACAAACGGTTTTTTCAGCCCACTCTAAATAAATGAGTATCTGTTACTAATCAGATCGGCTTTAAGCCATGCATTGAACTTAGTGTCAATAGCGATGACGTGAAGTTCACCCATCGCGTGTTACTCGCGCATCGAACGCACTAGTGTCCAATGCGTCATCAGTATCATTAACTGGACCAATGATCGATAAGCCTACACTTACTGAAGTTGATGGTCGGCGATCGTAAGCTCTATTCGGAGCTCGAATCGCGCGCCTTTTTTTGAATTTTGCAATGCGATCAATATTTTGCAAATCTTTTTTGTTCTGCTGTGAACCGAATGTTGGGATCACTCTCGGTAATACCATGTTCACGCGTCGCTAAGTAGACATTAGTAATCACTATATCATCTATAGTTAGTATACTATGTTTCATTGTAGAACTGCGTGTATCGTACGCCGTTTTCGCACACGACGGTCGACGCCAAGCGAGCAATAGAAGATCCCAACGTTTCGCACCTGTTCCGACCTATTCTGCATATATTTAATAGAGAGAATATACGAGATCATCCTAAACGAGTCTCTGAGCGTGAGGTTGAAACAGCTTGTTTTGTCCAGCGTTAGCTACTTTATATCGCGAAAAATTGCAAGAGTGATTCAAGCAAGCGTTTAGCTAAAGGATACAGTACCTGCTCTTTTGCTAGAGCACTCCCATAGCTGTGTAGCAATAATTATCCGCCATCTAAACTAATACTATAAGGATTGATACAACAATAGATCACGTTGTGTATATTATTACCGTAGCATTGAGGTGCTAACTTTTGGATCTCAGTAAAGGTTCGCATGACCGGTTCGCAAAGGATAACAACGACTGGTTCTCCTGATATCCTATGCGAACTATTACTGCTGCAACGACTTGCCTACTACCATCATCGATGACAATGGCCGTTTATGTAACCTACACGTATATTAGTTGCAAGTCCAAAGGAACATTTTCTAGCCGTCCTAGGATCACAGTTGTCTCTATCGTTACGCTTTGCTACACCGTATGAACTAAACAAAGCAGACGCTTCAACTAGTCAATAAATTGTTTGTCAGTAAACTGTGACCACACGCTCCCCTATTCGTCTATATGTTTCCATATGCGTATGCGTGTTTAGTTAGCGATCCATCGACTGCCTTCTCGATATCGCGCCACACTTCTACCGCACGCTCGATTACTTCGTTTTCCATTTTTTATTCACTGCTCGCTGTCGTCTCTTTACGGCGTCAACGGTAGTCGTATAGAGGCAGAGAATGGAAGGCTTAGGGGATCTTTATTGTCAAAGATATTAGCGCGCTAGCCGCGATCAACAAACAAAAACAGGCGCCGTACGTAACATGGGCTGATAATTTCGATGTCTATTCAGCTTTGTGACATTGGCAGCGGATGGCCTAAACACAAGAAGAAGCATCTGTTATTGTTGTATATACAACTGTTATCACTGCTGTGATATGATCAGGACGATCGGAGTCACTGACGTATAGGCACATAGCGGAGACGGCAAAACCTAGGCTGACGCACTCGCGACAATATGACTTCATTGATTCATATGTCAATTATAGTTTGTATCAATGTTAATAAAACTCGTGTATTTGCTTGTTATCTTTTCGTGTGTGACTACCCTTGCTGTTTATTGCCGGTGGCCTAGGGGACCACGGCCACCAAATCTACGTTTGTATCGTCCCTTTACGGGAGGTGCTTGCATACGGGATACATGCTTCTAGTTTCACGCAATGGCCTTCCTATAACAGATTGGCTGGTTGAATCATCGACATTTTCGACAATTAATAAATGCCGATCAGACATTTAGTTCAGATCGTCATACCGTACTGACACGCGGACGTAACACATTTGCAAGTATTGCCAATGAAAAAGGCGTCGGGTCAAATCAGCCGCTTCCCACGCCACTGTAACACATGTATCTACTCAGATCACAAGTAAAAGGTTGATTATATCCTTTGCAGAAGAAGGCTACCGAATACCGTATGAGTCTCTTTATGGGATCTACAGAGCTATCTAGCGTCGGAAGCAGACGCAAATAACGTTCGTTAGCCGATCTGGTCTTTTTTTTTCCTTTGTAGAAAAGGTGGAACTATAACGTTAGAGTGGAACCATCTATCAATTGCGCATCATGTGTATATTATATATAGTTTCATTACTAAGGACAAAGTTAATGAAATACTATTTTGACAATCATCTTGGTTGCTTGTCTACGGTGAATATATACTTCGAGTGTGGAAAACATTATCTAAAGTACTCTACGTTCTTTCTCAGTAATTTCTTAGTTTCAAACAGACGTGAGTAATTGAGCCCGCTCATCGGCCTAACGCAATCGAAAGTTGTTTTCGTGACGTTTCTAAATACATACTATATTCTATAATGTTGTTTAGATGGGAAAAACAAAGAATTCAATTGGCGATAATCACAATTTTGTCATTTTTCGTGCTTCTCCACAGAGAAGCATATTGGATGATGTTTACCTATCGAGTCCGTTGCGATATCAAAGCTCTAACATCTGTTCTTGTAAATGGACATCGTGATATTCGTCGCTGACTTGCGACTGGACCGTTTAGACGCTGTAGCGCTTTTAAGCGAAGCTGAACACCATATTGGTGTTAGCAGCGGCCGTAGTGACGCGGATCGTGATTGTCAGTGATGTAATATTATTTTTTTTCGTGTTTCTCTTTCAGGTAAGTTCAAATAATGCCCGGGCGCCAGCTGTTCTCGCATCGTGTATCGAATGACTCTTCACTTAGCTCGACGGGTAGCCAGTGTCAGCCATATACACACACACATATGGAATCGTAAAGGTCACAACGCATCTCAAGTTTATTTTTGATTGAAGCTATTCATCGTGTATGGAAATGTTACATTAAATAATAATAATAATAATAACAGTAGTAATTAATAATGGTAGCAAGTTTACAGTTAGAAAAACAACTAGGTCCCTGAATCTAGAACGCGTGTATATTAATCACTGTTCGTACTCCATCATCCTCATCGATCGACACTGAATATCATCGAAATGGCTTCCAATAAGTTAATGCGATACCCCAGTTGAGAAAGCCAATAGTGTACTTACAAACCTTACTATTATTACTTAGAAATGTGATCGTAGTGACGGTGCTTACCTCCATCGTCATTGCCCGAAGCAGGATTTTTCACGTACATATCCTGGTGGTGCTGGTTTCTATTACCGGACAGAGAGACTTTACGTACAAGTAAGTAAGACTACGTAGAAGCTGGCTGGTCGTCTGTCCGTCTGATCTATCTCAGTTTGCGGCCTACGCGTCTTCTAAGCATGTTCTTAAGCTAAGGGTATCTCAAAGCCAACTGATGTCGCCATTCTCCCATCTATGCATTACAGTTCGCTGCCTTAAGTACCTAAAGCTGATGAGGTTCTGCTACATCATTCGCAGTGAAGGGAGTAGCTTTGATCCTTTCGTCTTTTTTTTACGTGCCTGTCTGTTTTATTTTGTCTTCACTGAATTTGCTTTCGTTCCGGGGTAATACTGTCTGTCGTCAAACGCTGATGAGACGATTTAGTTTCGTGCGATTGTCGAGTAGGCATCGAAATGCGTGATGTCAGTCCTCAAAGACGTCATGAACAGAGACGATGAGGTTACTGTAAAAGGATGAGAATCAATCAGAGGAAGTCACCGCGTTTGCCACAATAACAAAGAATAAGGGTAGTTGTTTCATTTCGTTCCGCTTTTGTTGTCATTACTGTCCGATATTGGTACCTGATCAGTCTGAGTGAAGCCGGCAACTCTGTCGCAACACGGCTGTAATTATTGATTGAGTGAACCTGTAACGCCAGTTCGTTCCTCTCTCTTCAAGCTTTGGACAACCGATAACCACTGATAGAACTGCCTGCACTAACCCAATTCAATGCTCCTGTGTGGTCTATTCACTTGCCGGGGGCAGGACGTTTAGGGCACAAAGGATCACATGGTATGTGCTAGTCAACCAGATCTGACCCTCAATGCCCCGCCACTGAAGTGCTGGTACTTCTTTTATTGGTTGTGTGGTAGATTTTTGTTTGTCTATGTCTGTTGGCGATGGTATACCGACACTATAATCACTCGATCACTGGTATCAAATGCTGAGATGCCATTTGAAATGCAGATAACAACAGAATGAAAAGACCGAAAAAAAAACGGGCGCAGCCAACGAGACTCCGGCGAATCGTTGTTGTGCGAGCCACAAGCTTCAAGTAGCATCATCGTATAATAACTGAATGTTTGCCATAGGAATATAACCTAATAGATCAAATACAGAACAAAAAAACCTGAAAGAAACAAAAGAACCTGTGAGCATGTTTACAATTTAGTCGCTATTCTATAGGAGGTGAATTCTATAGAGCATTTTAGATAAACATTTATGACTTACGTTTACGCAAATAACAATAGTATGCTTCTTTACTCATGTCAGCTTTCGAATCTTTCTACTGCCAGTTCAACCTATACAGGCTAATTAGCATTCAACTCTTTGTGTACATTGAACATTGTTTGTGACTTTTCTTTTTTTTGTTGTCAAAACACAAATTTAAGACCAGCGTTACGGTGTTCGTGTGTAAACGCTTAACAAAATAGACTTTACGTGAGCCGGAGGGGTGTTTTCAGCTTCATCATATCGACGACTTCGTTGAAAACGGTTTTTGATGAAGGAAGCATCTTAGAAAACGGAAAATCAGCTCGACAACATGCACAGGCGCAGCAACCGGAGGTACAACATAAGGAAATCTGCTCTGGGTTTAACTGTTTTAGTTTACTATGTCAGGCAGTTAAAATCAATAGGTCATACACATACTTGTTCAGTTTTTTTTTTTGTTCTAACTAAGTCAGGCGGCAGCCTCGCGTAGTCCTTTGATCTGAAGTCCTTATTTATGTTGAGCTGATCCTTGATGGAGCGTTAAACTGCTCCGTGGAAGAAGCAGTATATTTCTAAAAGAGCTATATCGACCGCCGATATTTCAGTCGGTTGACAATGGCCTCATCGGTATGAAAGATGTCTGCAAACAACGATAAGGTCGAGGGTTCGCTGAGGCTCAAACGAAGGTATTTACACTGAACGTATACCTGTGTATCCGTCAGAGGTCTAGCAGCTCTGAACTTCGTTAAGATGAATGCCACTTATATATATTCATGATTTACAAGATCCAATAATACCTCTGTACCGATCAATCACTACATTGCTAGGGTAATCAACTGTTTAAGGAAACGAGGCCATTTTACAAATAACTGCTTAGATAGCGTAGAGTGTTAATAGATGACACTACTAAGAGAAATTTCCTGCAACATTATGCTATCACCGGGCCTTCGTTATACACAAAACCATGTTCAAGTGAGCTCAGAGACACTTTGTCATATACACCACATTGAAGCTTACTTAATCAGGCTGGCGGAAAGTCCTGCTTTCGCATGATTCCTTCACATTCGACCATTTCTTCAGCCGCCGATCAGAAGCGAGACTCGAGTTCAGCGCAGGCACCTACTTTATACAGAAAATGTCTATGAATGGAAGCGTAACAAGGCATAAATGTTTAACATCTACAATAAGTCAGAAAGTGGGTGGCAAACACAACGAATCAAAATCTCAATTCGCGATTCATTAAGTACTGAAAATGTCTCCTTGTTTTTTCTGCATTTTGGTCTAAATTGGTCGTTCTTGAAAGCTGGAAACATTTCGATCATCTTTTAACTAAATTGATGATATTATATAAGTCTCGCTGTAGATGAAATAACCATAAATTGGGTGAGTTCTTTTGAAAAGTGTAAAACTACCATCGCAGTAATATGCGTAACCTAGTATTACAAAAATATAAATTCTAAAGTATAAACAAATACTCATTCACAAGGGTGGGTTAAGAGCCCCGCCGCAAGGTAATTTTTGTTCTGTCTGTGACCAGTGTGTTTTGGATTCTGGCTTCTTTATTCCAAAGGTATTCCATCTATACAATTTTTTTATGAACGATATCCAAGCAATGAGACAACACTTCAGACGGGCCTTATCAGACCTATCTGGAATTTCCTCCAACAGATTTTTAAAGGTGGTATGGTAAAAGTTTGCCATTGTCACCGTGTGCTTGCGCTGAAATTCGAATCAGCAATGGCCGTATGTTCGTGATCTATATAATATTATAGCTCGGTATATTATAACGTTCGGCAGTGGACCAAATTTTGTAAACGATCACACTGAAAGTGCTAAGTACTCTTTTTTCTATGTGAAGCCTTTCGTTTCCCACAAGCATATCGAAAGGACGCTATATTTAAGCAGTCTATGCTCCGCTAAGAACACCCTGTATCTGTGTATCAAAATACTAAAGCTTTATCGGCAAAAGCAACAGCAGCGTCAATTATTAGACTAAATCCTATACTCGTTCGTATCTCATCGTACGTTTTTTACACAGCATCTGAGGATATTCTGTACCTTATTTTGTCTATGTACTTCTACTACGTACGGCCAATGCGCAGTAGTTCGCTGTCCACTTGTGTGTCCGACGTCAGCGTCGGCGATTAAAAGCCGATATATCTGTAGGTTATACAAATGCCCATTATCCTCGTCGATGATATATATATATATATATAGCATCTAGGATAATAGGCGCATGTATGTATCGAACATAATGGGTTTAACACTCACATCGAAATACACGGGCTTTCTATAAGGGGACACCATTCCGGCCGAACAACATAGCGCAATGTATCCCATCCTTTGTTTTATCTTTTTTCTATTTTTTTTTTTCTGTCGCTGCTGCTAGTACGCTTGTTACCTGCCGTTGCTGTGGCTGGCAGGCCTGTACTTTGTTTGAAAAGGCTCAGTCCTTAATGTTGTTTGGTCGTTTGTTTGAAAAATGACCTGTTTCCTGTGTACCATCAGTCAGTCGTTGTTCAATGAATTTTTGATACTACCACTCCCAGTCGCAGCTATTGCTTGCTTATTGGTCCGCTTGGGGCTGGTATAGCAACGACAACTCGTTCTAGCGCCATGGCGACGATGGCGGTAGTTGTGTCGATCACGTTGCCCGCAGTGGCTACGGGATGATCCTCATAGAAAAATGTAAAAAGTTAAATAATCAGCTCTTGTTGATATAAATTAGCCTGTTGAAGGTTGTACCTATCCTCTCGCAGGCGTATGATAAGTGACAGCCAACAAAGCAACGGGCGATTGCCGCTTATTAATGAATATATCAAAAAGACACATACATGCACAGAAACGAATTTTCAATGTGGGGCGCAAATTTAGCATGACAGATGTTTCTTGCCCAACAGAGGAATGCACACAGACACTCCAGCAGCTAATTTGTATTTCAACCAACTGTTGCAATACTGTTGAAACCACCCATCTAATGTTTCGCTCATACTGCACGTTTCGGATGCGTCCACATACTAATAATTACAATAGCAACACTGGCCCTCGGTTGTGCTAGATGTAATGTTATATATGTTCTTTTGTCGTGCCCCGTTGAGTCATCGATACGATCTTCGCATATCCATCTATGAAGACATAACAATTCTCAGGTATCGAAAGGGGTGGCGGCAAAGTCTTTGCATATTAATACATGGTCGATGTTGCTGTCGTCTGCCAGCAACGAATTAGATATTCTCTGTTTATAAAAAAAAACTATAAATATTGCATGACATACGCGCACTCTACCGTTATTTCGTTTGTGAGTGTTTGTTTTCGAAAACAACTGATATTGGTACACGCTCCATATATATTCTCGATTTTTTTATAGATTGTGGTGGCATAGCCGTCCCATCTTTATGCAGCAACCCTACAGATAAACATATTGCACGTGACATCAGTATTACATGCTACTTCATAAACTTCGCTTGTTCACTTGGAAAAGCTTTCTGACAGGGAACAAATAGAGAAGATACTGACCGCGCTCACTTGCGGACAAACCACGAAAACAGAGCCAAATGTATAGCCTGAGGACTGATGCAGGACTTGGATCATTCTCTGATCCAACTATAACCTATTTTACCCTAGTAATAGTCAGATGAAACACTGGAGCTGTTTGTTTACGTTGACAGGCGGCTAACTGCATCCTTACTGATACGATTACATTAAAGTTAACTACCGGAACTTCATCGCGCTATCCTCGAGTATATCGCCTCTATCGTTTGTGTGCTTTGAAGCTATGAGCTTGTTTTCGTTGCTGTTGTATCCTGTGATAGTATAGCTGCGTCCTTTTTGCTCCATCTCTTACAGTCATGCGTATTCTGTGGTATGCTTTTTTCAAGTGGACGAGGACGACAGTGTAAATACTCCACTTAAGTTTATACCGATCTAACTGCAACATGAAAATCTTTCTCATCATTATACATTTAACAGCATATATATTATATATATATATATATATATATGCGTGTATGTAGACGCGCATTTCCATACGAATAGTTTATGTTGGTTTTGTTGCGCGATATCCAGTAGCGTTTCAGATTGCTGTTTCCTTTTTCACACATTTCCTAACTGTCCGAGCAGGAATTTAATCCTTATTAAAAAGCAATCCGAAAAAATATCAAATGTTTTTAATGTTTTTAATGTTTTTAACAGAACTTCCGTACCACTTGCTCGACAGGACCTTTTAGAATGTAATATTTCTGGGCTATTTAGCTATGTCGGCAGAGTCCTCGAATGGCAAAAAGGTAGGTAAATCCAATATAGTTTAATATACCTGATACATGGACGCATGACAAAATACTAATTTTTCATATGCAGTGTCGCTTGATATGTTAGAAAATGAAGCTTTTACAATTCTGCTGTCTAGTCTACTGGATCTGAGATAGGGTATTAGGCACTATATGGCACGGAGCATATGTGGTGGCGCATGCTGCAAACATGCGCACTTAATGAGATAATAATTAAGAGAGAATAAGTACTTAAATGAGACACAATTGTCGGCATAAATGGTCAGGTGATAGCACCGTAGCATGTCTTTGATATATGGGTTGAAGACCAACCTAGCTGAACAAATCTCGTTTGTAGAAAGTCGTCAGAAAAATATGTGTTTTACGCAACGGCACGGCCACTATACGTGTCTGTAACTGCACACACGCGTATAACGTTTATGCATACGCAGCAGCAATATAATAACACAACAATGAATATGAATAAACAACATAACATTGTTATATATTGGTTTTAAAGTATATCATAAACAGCATAGAGGTTACTCCTACAGTTAAACGAAGAGCATCACGACAATATGTATATAAGCATATATATAAGAAATTCTGTGTAGATCGCGATCGCCCACCGCCACCCGTTTTATAAAACACCGTCTTTGTTATGCAGCCTTTTCCGTCTTTCATTCTAACTAGATGCCCATAACATACACACACAGAGTTGCGACAGTATATACAGATATTGTCGACATTTAGTATATACTACGATGACCTGGAATATAGGACGAGTGTCCTGGCGGCCAAGGTCTTCTGAGCAGAACGAAAGAACGACGACTCGCGAAAATTTCACACCGTGCTTTGTAATCACACAGACCGAAGGCTACGTCTAGAGAACGACTCGCGAAATTGTTTTTGTTCTTAATTAATTTTGGCTATCCATGCATTTACATCTGATTAAACAGCAATTACGAAGGGCCATGTGAATTGAAAAGAAGGGCATTAGTTACCGAAGCTGCCGAACGGAAGCAATCAGACGGTCTTCGTCTGCTTCGGTATAAATCTAATCTGTGCAGAGTCTTTCGACAGCGTTAAATTGGGAAGCATGCGTACGCTGTGAGTGGTGATGGATCCAATCCAATATGACCAAATGTGCTATCCTGCCTTAAGCCGCTTCATTTGCCGACTTCATTGAAGTTCATTGAAGACAACATTCACTCGATATTGAAGCTGATCGCACAAATCGCAGAAGTACAGTTTCACGATCTCAATAAGCTATCCATACGGCATTGAACTGCTCGTCGTTTAATTGTCGCTTGATTCTGTTTCGCCCCTTTCGGAAGGTGATTTCTATTAATGTATTATATTCTTGTACCTATTGCGCAATGTTATATTATACTAATATAGATAATGTGTGCTTAAACCTTAACAAGCAATGTCGTGGTAACCTCCATTATAATCTCTGTCATACGCCTGTGAATAGAATAATTCCTAGCTATTTCACATATTTGTTATATAGTTCCAGTTGAAAACGTCTGTTTCCACAACAACTTTAAATTCGAGCCTGTAAACGTATTACCATGACGCTAATATAATGCCCTATGCTTTGTTTGAATACGGTATGATATCATGCTGTCCTGACACACCAACAACTATGTTATTCCAGCACTTTGCAGAATTTAGCAAGATTGTGCACAATACGATGATGACGTTGCATGTCAATAATATATGTTTTTTTTTTTTTTTCGAGATCCATTTATATAACATACTATTACATATGGTGCTTCGTAAGCATTTCTAGAGGCCTGCAATTTGGCTAAACTGACGCGTTGGCAAATGGATAGATTTATT